GAATGCGGCTGAGGGTAGGTCAAGGGACACCCGGTACACTGTATCCAGCCATGTCTTTAAACAAAAACCACTCTCCTTCGAGCTGTGCAAAGCAAATTTTTGTAAAATGATCAGAGGCTAAACCGAGGCAACAAGACTTGGCTCCCTAAAATTGCCTAAGCTGCCTGGCTCCCCAAGATTTGAATTTTAGAAAGACCCCTCTGGCCACCAAGTGGAGATGGGTGCCTGTGGGTGACAGCTGGAACCCGGCTTTGGTAATAATAAAACAGGGCACGCTCATTGGCTTTTACAGGTGCTGTGCCTTTAAGTGCGTAATTTCACTGAATCCTAACCACAACCCCGCAAGCAGGAACTATCAGTCTTCACTTTGCACAGGTGGAAACTGAGGCGCAGCACAGAGAGGTTAAGTTAATTGCCCCAGGTCACACAGCTGTGAGTGGTTGAGCTGGACTCCAGCCCAGGTTTGTCTGGCTGTAGCATCTGTGCTTCCAGGCCTTCTCTCCAGTGGAAAATTCCACTCCATGTTGGAGAGGGTGGGTGTTGGGAGATTACCCTGAAAGTTCCTTTTAGCTCTGAGATGTTGGGGGACTGGAGACTAAGTCTCCTGTAAGTAGGATCTTCTTATATCGGGTTTGCTTAGCACCAAAAGCATCTGAGCTGTCAGCGGCGCTTGCAATCTTGGGAGATGTCTGTGACACACACGAGGGTCCACCGAGGCACAGGTCCGTCTGGGTGTGAGCAGCTATAAGACCACCACGGGATTTAGAGACTAATCTGTATTTGTGGGTCTTACTGCTCTGTGCTGGGGAGGGCTGGGGACACAGAGATGACAGCAGCCCCAGCCCTACCCTCTGGGCTCACAGTCCAGGTGGGGAAGACTGACCAGTCCCTTGAGAATGATGATCCAGAGTGGTCAGGGCTGGGGTCCCACCCCAAAGGGATGCCTGACCCAGCCAGGGGGTTAGGGAGGGCTTCTTGGAGGAGAAGCTGTCCCACCTGAGACCTGGAGTTTGTAGCTAAGTTGGTGTCAGCGGGAGGCGGTTCTTGCCAAAGTTTGAGGCCAAGGTGAGGAGCTGGGCTTTATCCCAAGGGTCCTAGGGAGCCATGGCGGTTTCAGGGCAGGAAGGGACAGGGTTATATTTGAGACCGGGCTGGCTGCTGCTCAGAGGGGAGGTTGGTATACGACTTCAGTGAGGTTGTGTAACCATTAGGCCGTGGCCATGACCCTTGGCTAGCTGTACTGGGGGCAAGGGGGGCCCGTGTGTGTTTTTTCCTCAGGACCCCGTAACCTTCCTTCACTCCCCACCCCAGAGGCCAGCGCCGCCGAGGTGCCTCCCTTCTCCCGGGTCCAGGAGCGCTCCTTCTTCATCCGCATGAAATCGACCCTCACCAAGAGGGGGCTGCACGTCAAGGCCTCGGGGTACAAGGTGAGTGTGAGCTCTCCGGCCCCAGCTTCTGACGCCCACCTGGGGAGAGCCCCCGCATTTCCGCCAGCTATGTCCTTGTGCCCCGGCACCTGTGGGTGACAGCCGCAGCCTGGCCCGGTGGCCGGGTTGTGGTCGTCCTGCCCGTGCCTGCCCCCCTACCCGTCCCCCCGCCCCCGCCCCCCCGGCCTCGCCAGGCTTCTCCTCCAACCCCGCCTGCCGCCTGCAGGTCATCCACGTAACGGGGCGCCTTCGGGCCCGCTCCCTGGGCCTTGTGGCTCTGGGCCACACGCTGCCCCCGGCCCCCCTGGCTGAGCTGCCGCTGCACGGACATATGATCGTCTTCCGTCTCAGCCTGGGTCTCACCATCCTTGCTTGTGAGAGCAGGTACCGGGGTTGGGGGCCGAGGCGGGCGGATGGGGCCACGCGGGAGAGCTGGGGCTGCGGGCAGTCAGAGCTGCGCTGGGGAGCCCCGGGGGCTGGGGAGCCCCGGGGACGGAAGAGCCCCGAGGGCGGAGGTACCGGAAGGAGGAGGCCGGGGCGGGGCCCGGTGGGGAGGGTGGGCGGGGCTTGCCCGAGGCCCCTCCTGCAGAGCCCCGCCCCGCCCCACTTTGTCTCCTGGCCCGCACAGTGGGGGAAAAGTAAAATGTGAAATCGTCCCCACGCTCTGAGAGCCTTCCGAGTGCCCGGGGCCACCCCGCACCCAGCAGTGCCACCTGCCTGAATGCTCATGGCCACCCTAGGAGGGACACTAGTGTTACGCCCATTTGACCCAGGGTTAGACTGAGGCCCAGAGCACTCCTGGTGATTCCAGAGCCAACACTGCCTCTTGTCCTCTAACCCCTGGTCTCAGACCCCTTCTCAACTCCTTTGTCACCTGCTGTCCTCAGAGTCAGCGACCACATGGACCTGGGGCCCTCAGAGCTCGTGGGTCGCAGCTGCTACCAGTTTGTCCACGGACAGGACGCAGCCAGGATCCGCCAGAGCCACCTGGACCGTGAGAACCCCTGTCTCCTAGCACCCCTGGCCTGAGTGCCCCCAATCCCTGCACCCTGAGCCACAGCTCAGACGTGGGGTGGGAGGAAAGGGGCCGTGGTGTCTCTGTGACCCCGCCCCCCTTAAAAATCCAGAAGGCCCCCGTGCCAGGTTAGTGCTCAGTCCTTCTGACTCGGTCTCTCCCCATCTCCCGCTCTGTACTTTTGACCTTGTCTCCTCCCTACCGTCACCCTCTCTGTCCCCGTCTTCCTCTCTCACCCCATCTTCCTGTCCACCTGTCTGTCTCTGTCTCGGCCGGCCCCTGGGCTGGGCCCAGTGCTGGACAAGGGGCAGGTGATGACTGGTTACTACCGCTGGCTGCAGCGGGCTGGGGGCTTTGTGTGGCTGCAGTCCGTGGCCACCGTGGCCGTGAGCGGGAAGAGCCCCGGGGAGCGCCACGTGCTCTGGGTCAGCTACGTGCTCAGGTGAGGGCTGTAGCCCGTGCGCCCCGTAGGGCGGCTCAGAACCCCTCCGCAAGACTTTGCCGTCTCTCCCCAGCTTGGGGTGGGGGGGGCTCCTCTTCGGGGTGGGGGGAGCTTTTCAAAGAGGACAAGCCCAGAAGGGTTTGAAAACAGGAGGGGGACGGGGACAGTGAGAGGAAAGGCCCGGAGGTGGAGTGACCTTGCTTGCAGGGGACAGAGGATTGAGGAGGCAGCTTTGAAGTGGCCTCAGTCCCACGCAGAGGGTCTGGACTTGATTCTGGGGCACTGGGGAGCCATGGCAGAGTTTAAAGCTGGAGAGGGTCACAGTCATGTCTGCTTTGTGGAAAGACCCCTCTGGCTGCTGCAAGGGACTTCGAGGGACACGACAGGGGCTGGGAGCCCAGGGAAGAGGTTGGGGCGGGTCCGGGAAATGCCAGACAGTACACGTGGAGGAGGGCAGGTGGCATCTGCTCACACCCACGTCTCTGGCTTTGATGGCCTGGCTTGGGGCTCCTGAGAGGAGCAGCAGTTTGAGAGGAAGATGCTGAGGGGAGATGAGCATGAGGTACCCAGGGGACACCCAGGTGGTGACATTCGCAGGGGGGGCGGGGGGCACAGGCTGCCCAGGTCTGGCCTCGGGACACGGGGCTAAGCTGGGCTAGACCCCAGCTTGGAGGGGGGGGGGTTGCAGTGATGAGCCCTAAGTACCATGGGGTGGGGGCTCTACACCCCCCGTCTTGTCCCCAGCCAAGCCGAGGGTGGCCAGACCCCTCTGGATGCCTTCCAGCTTCCGGCCAGCGTGGCCTGTGAGGACGCATCCAGCCCAGAGCCAGAGCCCACAGGTGAGCCTCACCTCCCACCTCACCCCAGGAAGCTCCAAGGGAAGGGGTCTCTGGGCCCTGAGCTTTCCAGTCTGGAAGCCACTAGCCACGTGTGGTGACTTACGTTTCATTTCAAAAATGAAAGACTGAGTTTCTCGGACACCCTTGCCACATTTCAAGGGCTCCGTGGCCTCACGTGGCCAGTGGCTAACGCGTTGGAGCACACAGATATGGAACGTCATAGAGGAAAGTTCTGTCGAACACGGGTCTAGACCAGGGTTTGTCAGTCTCCCCTCTACTGATATCTGGGGCCAGATCATTCTCAGCTTTGAGGGCTGTCCTGTGCATTGTAGGGTGTTTAGCAGAATCCCCAACCTCTACCCATAGATGCCAGGAGCACCGTCCACCCTAGCTGTGGCAACCAGAAATGTCTGCAGACTGCCACATGTCCCGCTAGGGGACAAAATGGCCCCAGCTGAGACCCACAGGTCTAGACCACCGAGCTCAGCTTTATTCCACAGATGGGAAGACTGAGGGCTGGGGACGCACACACCCAGCGCCCTTCATGTCTCCCTCTTCTAGAGCCAGAGCCTCCAGTGGAAGGGAAGCAGGCTGCCCCCCTAGACAAGGACGAGGCCCCCCGGAGCCGGGGCAAACGCATCAAAGTCGAGCCTCGCCCAGGGGAGGCTAAAGACCCAGAGGACAGTGGGGATGAGGAGCCGTCTGGCCACCCGGCCCTGCCTCGGCCTGAGTTTACTTCTGTCATCCGGGCAGGGGCCCTGAAGCAGGACCTGGTGCGGCCCTGGGGCCTGGGGCCTCCTGGGGACCCCCCACCTTCCCTCCTCCATGCGGGCTTCCTGCCCCCCGTAGTGCGGGGCCTGTGCACACCCAGCACCATCCGCTACGGCCCCGCGGAGCTGGGCCTCATGTACCCGCACCTGCAGAGGCTGGGCCCGGGCCCCACCCTCCCCGAGGCCTTCTACCCCACCCTGGGCCTGTCGTACCCGGGGCCCACGGGCATCAGGATGCAGCGGAAGGGGGACTGAGGACTGGAGAGCTGCCTACAGAGCCGGACCCTGAGGGACAGGTGGGGCCCCTAGGGCACTGCCCTAGGGCTGAGCTCAGCCCTGTCGGCCCGCCCGGAAAATTAAACACCTCCTCCTCCTCTGTGGCTCGGTCTCCGGGGGCCTTGGGGCTCCTCTCTCCTTTTCTTTCTCCTCCTTGGTTACCTCCACCTGCCTCGCCTGGCTCCCACGCCCGCCCCACCCTCCCCATTGCAGGAACCACTACTCGGAACATGGAGCAGGCGAAGGGTCAGGTTTTAATGTCCCGGTCCTTGGGCCCCCGGCCGTCCAGCGCCCGGCCATTCCCCATGGCCCAGCCACTCACTCTGGTGGTGGCCGGCCTGCTTCATCGGGGCCTTCAGCAGCCGCCGTCCCGTCGTCCTCGGGCACCAGCTCCACATCCAGCTCCAGCTGACCCATGTAGAGGCCGACGGCACAAGCCCAGAGCAGGCCTACGGCCAGCACGGCCCCCACACTCGCCGCCGCGCCCCCCAGCGACAGCTGCATGGGTCCCCGCAGCGCCGCCAGGCCCACCACGTAGGAGGAGCCGCCCCACACCACGCACAGGCCGCCCAGCAGGAAGAAGCCTGTGCGGGGGGAGAAGGCTGCAGTCAGCGGGAGGGAGGGCCCGAGCTCCCAGGCCAGGGGGCTGCCGGCCTGCAGTGGGGTGGCTGGAGGCCCGGGTCTGGGAGCCCGATGACCCGGGGACCGAGGTGGCTCAGGAAACTGAGGTGGAGTTAGAGAATGGGGCAAACTCAAGGTCAGGGTAGGGGTCAGTAGAGACCCAAGCTCAGGGACTCGAGAAGGTGTCAGAGGGTGGTGTCTAGGATGTGGAGGTGGGGTTCAGGACCAGAGGAGGGGTGGGGAGCTGGTCTGAGAGCAAAAACAGGGCTGGAGGGGCGGCAGCGGGGCCAGTCTGGGGCTGAGCCAGCATGAGGGGCTCAGCCAGGACCCTCATCTTTGTCGAGAAGTCGGATAGGAGGGTGCAAGGACCCACTGCCCTCCCCAGTGCCCAGGAAGTCGGGGTGGGTGCGAGGGAGGGTGAGGTGGCTTCTGGCGGGGGGAAAGAGTGAGGGGATCCACACTTAACTGGGGAGGTTGGGACGGGGCAGAGAAGAATCTACAGCCACCAGGGAGGATGGGGGCTCTACCTCCTCAGTGGGGGGGGGGGGCAAGTGCCCACACTTCCTGGTGGGGGCGAGAGTGGGGGTCTGCACTCACCATAGGCAGCTTCCCGACCCATGTCACTCTGCATGAAGGAGATGACCCCGATACCTGATGCCAGGAGACCATTGCGGAACCAGGAGAGGAATGCTACAGGAAGGGGGGTGGGTGGGTGGGTGGGGGCAAGAAATCAGCATCAGCCCAAACCCTGCCCCCAACCCCATCTGCCCTGACGGTGTTATCCCACCCCAAATCCCCGCCTAGTCCTGGCAGCCCTCCACCTAACCTTATCCCCGCGCCCAAACTCTGGCTTCCATCCATCTCCGAGCCCTCTCCCCCAAACTCTGCAGCACCAAAGATTCAAGACAGTCTGCAGAATGTGGAGGAGCATCTAGGAACCCAAACTGCAGGACCTAAATCTGAGGACAGGCAGATCCCAAGAGGTCATCGCGGTCAACGTCCCACCCCCATACATGTGTATCCACGCCCCCCCTCCCCCCGGGGACAAGCTGTTCCCTCACTTCACGTCTCTCTCCAGCCTCCCCCTAATGCCAACTATCAACTATCTGCGCACGTCCTTCCTTGCTGTTATTTACATCCATTCAAGTTCCTGGTGGGGCGCTAACGGGCCAGTCGGGTTACAAACCCCACACCCTTACCCCAGCCTCTATCTACCCTCTCCACGTGAGGCCCCTCCCCCTGCAGCCTGGATCACCTGGCCCTCCAATCAGCCCAGAGCTATTCTATTATTGGTTGTTCCTCCCTCCAATCCGGAACTCGCCCCCTCTTTGGTGGGGATCCACACTCCCGCCTAATGCAGAGTGGTCGCCTCTTCAAGCTGAACTGGCTCCTTCAACGCGGACCCCTCTAGTAGGCAACTCCCCGCCCTTAACTCTCTCTGGACGCCTCTCTCTCACCCAGGCAGTGCAATTTTATAAGGCTGCCAGTCCTAGCCCGACTAACCTCTCCAATCCCTACTGCACCCCACTAACCGGACACCGTCCCATCTGCAAGCCCTTCTTTGCGGACAGACTGCGCTCTTGCAGCGAGCACTTCCCTGCGCTTATACGGAAGCCCTGCTCTCTCCGGAGCCCCGGCCCTGTTTCCAGCAGGAGCCCCGTCCCCACCCCCCACCTCACGCGCGCCGACCGCTCGGCTATCCGGAACCCCCTCTCCTGTCCGGGCCGACCCCAGCCTCAGACCTGTCTCGTGCGCCTTCCGAAGGAGCCAGGCGTCCGCACGATCCAGCTCGGACACGGGGGGTGGCGAAGTCCCGGCGCGGGGGCCGTGGCCGGGGGCGAAAGACCCCCGGGCGCCCCCGCTCCGGGGCCGCGGAGGCGGCAGCAGCGCCCCCCGGAAGCAGAGCCGGGCCAGTCGGGCGGCCCGAGCCCACCACCAGCCGCCTCCCATGGTTCGCACTACGGCCGCCGCTCACCGACCCGCCCCCATGGGCCGCCCGTAGGCTGAAGAACACGTCACTCAGGGACGTCGGCTCACCCATTGGTTTTGCGAGCGCCACTCAGGGCTGGCCCCCACTGTCCATTGGTCGACACTGCCGGTGATTCCTCCTCTGTCATCTGTGCCGGTACTGTGCGTCCCACCTTGCTTCTGCTACTGGACTACGAATCCCAGAGAATGTTGCGCCCATAGAAGGCCTGTCTTCAGAAGCCGGGGGCATGATGCCTGCTGGGAGTTGTAGTTTTGTTAATAACTTTAATTCTCATGGCCAATAAACAAAAACAAAGCAAAACAAAATTCTGCTTAATGTAGAACCTTAGCAAAATCTCGAAAAGCCGAGAGGAGAAAGCAAAACTCAACATTAATCCCACTGATGAAGTTACTGCTAATACTTTGTTGTACTCCTGCCCCGTCTTTTTTCTAGGTAAGTGTAAAACGAGAGGCCGTTTGACAAATTAACTTTTTTTCACATAACGGTAAGTCGTGAACATTGACTGGTGGCATTGAATACTTTTCACAGCATAATTTCTTATTTTAAAAAATACTGCTGATTTTGAACACAATCCAAGATGCAAAAGATACAAAAGGGTCTAATGAAAAGTAATTTTCACCCCGTGCGCCAGCCAACCATCCCCATCCTCCGTTCCACAGCATTAAGTTTAATGGTATGCATTACACGTAGGTACCACAGGGGATCCCCGTCCCTAAGTTGTTTCCTATTTTCCCGACTATAAACTATTGCTGTTTCCTTTTAGGTTTAAACTGGCAAATTTCCGTTTATATCCCCTTACTACACTGTGTGGTAACTATCTCTATACTTTGTCTCTGCCAATAGGCTGTGAGCTTTCAGTGGACTGGGTCCTTGATTGACACATCTCCATGTCCCCCAACCCAATATAAGCAGGGACTTGGTAAATAATAATAGCAAACATTTACCAGTGGCTTTCCCTGTGCCAAGAATTGTGCTATGCACAGTCTGTGCATGATGTCATTTCATTCTCATTGTAACCTTAGGAGTTATGAACTAGAATGCTCCCTCTTTTATAGGGAGGGAGAAGTGAGGTAATACAAATTGATGTTTATTGGGCACTAACCATGTATCAGACGCTGTGCTCTCACTTTACGTGGATATTCTCATTAAATCTTCAAAATAGGGGTGCCTGGGTGGCTCATGGTCTTGATCTCAGGGTGGTGGGTTCAAGCCCTGTGTTGGACTCCACACTGGGCAGGGAGCCTACTTAAAAAAAAAAAATCAATTTTATGTTTACACACTAGGTAGAAACAGTTGCAAAATGAGATTGAAAATAAGTTCTTTTACAATAGTATCAACCCCCCCCCAAAAAAAAATAGTATCAAACCCAAAAATCCTTAGGAAATATTTTAACAAAAGATATGCAAGATTTCTACACTGAAAACTACAAAATACTGTTGAGCCACATTAAAGAAGATCTAAATAAGTGGAAATATATACCATGTTCATGGATTAGAAAACTCCTTGCTCTCATGGAGCTTCCATTCTAGAGGGATAGGCAGAAAATAAGCACTAAACATGCTAAATAAGTAAATCCTTGGGGAAGTCCAGGGGACTAGAGGAGCCCAGAGAGGGTACCTAACCCAGCCTGGTTGTGGAGTCAGCAAGGGGGTGCCTAAGTAGAAACCTGAACTCTGAGTAGGCATAGACCAGATAAAGCATGATCAGAGACTTACAGAAAGAATCTGGGGCCCAGGAAAGCTTATAGTGAGTGTAGGAGATTGAACATAAACAATTATTTACCATCATGAAATGGTTTCCTTTTCTTCCGGGGCAGCCATGACAACTATATTTTCTAAGATGCCCTACAGTGCGTAGAGATCTTTTTGAATCCAGAAAAACAGCTCTCTGACCACCCTAACCCCATCCAAAGCAAGGGGACCCATTTGAGGTCACCCCCTTTAGTTCCTGGGTCTCCTGTAACTCCCAATCCTGTGCAGTAGAAAGACATAGAGGAGTTATGCAGGGGTCAGACAATATTCAACTTATCTGTTAAGATCACTCCACCTTGAGGGTTCTAGAGGGGAGGGGGTGGGAGGATGGGTTAGCCTGGTGATGGGTATTAAAGAGGGCACGTTCTGCATGGAGCACTGGGTGTTATGCACAAACAATGAATCATGGAACACTACATCAAAAACTAATGATGTAATGTATGGTGATTAACATAACAATAAAAAATTTAAAAAAAAAAGATCACTCCACCTTCCTGGGGCACCTGGGTGGCTCAGATGGTTAAGCTTCTGCCTTCAGCTCAGGTCATGATCCTGGGGTCCTGGGATCGAGCCCCACATCGGGCTCCCTGCTCGGCAGGGAGCCTGCTTCTCCCTCTCCCTCTGCTGCTCCCCCTGCTTGTGCTCTCCCACTCTCTCTGTCAAATAAGTAAATAAAATCTTAAAAAAAAAAAAAAATCACTCCACCTCCCTACGAAGGCTGGGTTATAGCAGGAAGAGATCAGAAACTCGCAAGAGGACAGGTGACCCTGTCAATAGCTATCTATTTCTCTCCAATCCTGAGTTCAAACCCTTGCTATCTTTCACCTGGACAGCTGAAACCAGCCCACTTATTGGTCTCCAGAACCCCCTAACGGTAGATTCTCCACTTATTATTTCAGCAAATAATTATTGAATATCTACTATGTACCAAGCTCTGTTTAAGACACTGAGGATATGGGGGCACCTGGGTGGTTCAGTCTGTTAAGCGTCTCTTGATTTTAGATTTGACCTCTCAGGTCATGATCTCAGATTTGTGAGCTTGAGCCCCATGTCGGGCTCCATGCTGGTCATGGAGCCTGCTTAAGATTCTCTTTCCCTCTCCTTCTGCCCTTCCCCTCCATCCCCCTCTCTAAACTAAAAAAAAACACAAAAAAACAAAAACAAAAACACTGAGGGGGCGCCTGGGTGGCTCAGTTGGTTAAGCGACTGCCTTCGGCTCAGGTCATGATCCTGGAGTCCCGGGATCGAGTCCCGCATTGGGCTCCCTGCTCAGCAGGGAGTCTGCTTCTCCCTCTGACCCTCACCCCTCTCATGCTCTCTCTCTCATTCTCTCTCTCAAGTAAATAAATAAAATCTTTAAAAAAAAAAAAAAAAACACTGAGGATATAGCCGTGAACTAAACAGAAAAACGATGTGTCCCAGCCCCTATGGACATGATAGCACTGTGCAAGGGAGACAAAGGAATAATTAATATAATTCCAGGAAATCTCAAATCCATGCAGAAAATAAATCAAGGTGATGAGGGAGAGAATGACAAAAGACTACGGCAGCCAACCTCTAGGATGATGCCAGCTATCTTCACATTTTGTGTTGTCTCCTCCCACGTCCAATCAGGACTGCCTCTGTGTGGCCAATGGAATACTGTGGAAGTGACCGAGTGTGACTTCCAAGGCTGGGTCATAAAAGATACTGCCACGTCCGGAAGCCAGCTGCCATGTTGGGAGGACACCCGAGCAGCCTTGTGGAGAAGCCAACGGCCAGCACCAGCTTGCCAGCCACATGAATGAACATCCTTGGAAGGTTCCTCCAGCCCCTTGTCAGGTCCTTGGATGACCACAGCCCTGGCCTGAACCTCATGAGAAGCCCCGAGCCAGGACCACCCAGCTAAGCTACTCCTGTGGATACTTCCTGATCTGCAGAAACTATGTGCAATTGTACACATTTATTATTTTAAGCCACTGAGTTTTGAGGATGTGACATGAGAGTAGCAATCTGAGTGAAAAGGAGTCATTTATGAGGTGAGGAGGAGGAGGAGTGCTCCAAGCAGAGAGGATAGCAAGTGCCAAGGCCCTGAGGCTGGAGTGTGCTTGACATGCTGGAGGAATAGCCAGAGGGCCTGTGTGGTTGGAGCAAAGTGAGCAAGGGGAGTGGGGACAAAACGAAGTTGGAGACAGATGGGGGTTGGGTTGTTGGTGTCTCATGGGCCATGTTGAAAGCTTCCTATTTTATGTTAAGTGTGATGGGAGGCAGTGGGAGATTTTGAGCTGGGGGGTAGCATGACCTGACATTCATCTTTAGAATGTGGTGCTGACTGCTCAGTGGGAAAAAGACTTAGCAGCCACAGGATATATATTTTTTTAAGATTTATTTATTTGAGGAGCACCTGGGTGGCTCAGTCATTAAGCGTCTGCCTTCGGCTCAGGTCATGATCCCAAGGTCCTGGGATTGAGCCCCGCATTGGGCTCCCTGCTCAGCTGGAAGCCTGCTTCTCCCTCTCCCACTCCCCCTGCTTGTGTTCCTTCTCTCACTGTGTGTCTCTCTCTCTGTCAAATAAGTAAGTAAAATCTTAAAAAAAAAAAAAAAATTTATTTGAGTGTGTGTGTGTGTGTGTGTGTGTGTGTGTGTGTGCAGGAGCGGGGGAGGGGCAGAGGGAGAGAATCTCCAGTAGACTCCCCACTGAGCGTGGAGCCCGACGCAGGGCTCAATCCCATGACCCTGAGATCATGACCTGAGCCGAAATCAAGAGTGGGACACTTAACCCACTGAGCCACCCAGGTGCCCCACCAGAGGCTATTTTAAATGAACACCTAATGATGTCTCTCCCTAGCTGAAACCCTTCCATAGCTCTCCATCAACCTCTGGAATCTTGGCTACAAGACCTGCTGGGGGGGCGCCTGGGTGGCTCAGATGGTTAAGCATCTGCCTTCGGCTCAGGTCATGATCCCAGATTCCTGGGATCGAGCCCCACATCGGGCTCCTGGCTCAGCGGGGAGCCTGCTTCTCCCTCTCCCTCTGCCTCTGCCTCTCCCCCCCCCCGCTCATGCTCTCTCTCTCTCTCTCTCTGTATCTCTGTGTCTCAAATGAATAAATAAAATCTTTAAAAAAAAAAAAGACCTGCTGGGCCAGGCCCCTCCTTACTTGCTCCTTCATCTCCCACTGAGAAGAGCTTGGCTTTTATGGAGGGGGAGGCTGACTGGGAGCTCTGGAGGGGGTTGAACTTGGGAGGGAGTTCAAATGGGCTGGAACAGCCTGGCTGCTGGCAATGAACCCTAAGTATTAAATGGGATTAAGTGGAACTGAAAATATTTGAGACACATTTCTCACATTCTTGGCTGGTGGAACCATTTAGGCTGAGGAGAAGGGAGAGAAAAACCAAATGCCAGAAAGGGTCAGGGCAGAGAAAACAAATCCTCCTTAAAGAGACAGATCAGAGGCTGCCTCTGCACTTGTGATTTGATCAGTGGTTCTCATACACGAACCGAACAGTCCAGGAGCTTTAAAACATTAATGCTCCAGCCTCATCCCAGACCAACGCAGTCATATCTGCAGGTGGGAAGGACGACCAGGCATTGGGGTCCTTTTACAGAATATACAAGTACTCACCACAAAAAAGAAATGGCAATTATGTGACATGATGGAGGTGTCAGCTAAGAGTCCAGTGGTAATCCTATTGCAACACTATATATAATTGTGTGTATATAATGTATCAAATCAACATGTTGTACCTTCAACTTACACAATGTTAGATGTCAATTACATCTCAATAAAAAAAATATTTTTTTAAAGAATATATTTTTAGGGATGCCTGGATGGCTCAGTTGTTAAGCGTCTGCCTTCGGCTCGGGTCATGATCCCAGGGTCCTGGGATCGAGCTCCGCATCGGGCTCCCTGCTCCGCGGGAAGCCTGCTTCTCCCTCTCCCACTCCCTCTGCTTGTGTTCCCTCTCTCGCTGTGTCGCTCTCTGTCAAATAAATAAATAAAATCTTAAAAAAAAAAAAAAAAGGAATATATTTTTATCAAGAGCTGACCCGATGTCAGGCCCTGTTCCAACTGGGGCCACAACAATGAAGCGGTGGGGGGAGAGGATACAGCATGAGCTTTTGTGGCAGGACATTTTAGCGCCTGAAGAGGAATCACAAGGCAGGTCACGTGACCCACCAATCCAGCATTTATTCAGGTTGCCCTTTAAGTCCTGGGACACAACTCTAGCATTTTCTCTCTGCCCAGGTGTGCACGGTGACCCCTCTGTCTTGCCCTGACCAACCCTGGGTCAGGCTGCTCTCCTTCCCTCCCTCCCCCCGGGCCCCAAACAGCCCCTCCCCCAACTGAAATGCTGGTCAGCTTCTCCTGAGACCTGCTGACCACAGGAGGGCACATTTCCTGTCAAACCACGTTGTTACTTACTGCCCCTCACATACCCAACTTCCCCTACTACAAACCCCACTGGCTAGCGGAAAGCAATGCCCTTTTCTGTTTGCAGACACTTGCAGACCTCGGAGGTCAGAGCAGCCTCCGCACAGCAATGGTCTTTTTCTTTTTCTTTTTCTTTTTTTTTTACAGATTTTAAGTAATCTCTCAATGGGGGACTCGGACTTCCAACCCTGAGATCAAGAGTCACATGCTCTAAAATGGTCTTTTTGAATAAAATTTGAATAAAATTTCTCATCTCAGATTTTTTTTTTTATTTGACATCTCCAGAAAGTTCTCGTGCATTCTTCATTAGGTTCATTCCTAGATACCTTATAGTTTTGTGGGGGTTTTTTTGTTTTGTTTTGTTTTGTTTTTTCTCCTAGATACCTTACAGTTTTTATCACTCTTGGGAAAGTTATCTGATTTTCTGTTAATTTCCCATTTGATTATTGTTGTTATATAAGAATGCTAGTGATTTTTTTAAAAAATGAGATGTAATTCATATACCATAAAATCCATCCTTTTAAAGTGTACAATTCAATGGCTTTTAGAATATTCACAAGGTTGCCCAACTGACATCGCTAACCGCAGAACGTTTGATCACCCCAAAAAGAAAACTCCCTGCACCCATACCCTCCCCCTCCTCCCAGTCCCTGGCAACCACTAATCTCTTTTCTGTCTATGTGGATTTGTTCTGGACATTTCATAGGGAGATGGAATCCTACAATATGTAGCCTTCCGTGTCTGGCTTATTTCAGTTAGCTTAATGTTTTCAAGTTTTAACGTTGCTTCATTCCTTGTTACAAGGGAGTAATATTCCCTTCTATGAAGATAGCACATTTTCTTCACTCATTCGTCAGTAGATGGACATGAGGATTGTTTCCATTCTTTGCCTATTATAAATAATGCTGCTGGGACACCTGGGTGGCTCGGTCGGTTAAGTGTCTACCTTTGGCTCGGGTCATGACCCTGGGGTTCTGGGATCGAGTCCTGCATTGGGCTCCTTGCTCAGCAGGGAGCCTGCTTCTCCCTCTGTCCACTGCTCCCCCTGCTTGTGCTCTCTCTCTCTGACAAATAAATAAATAAAACCTTAAAAAAATAACACTGCTATGAACATGCATGTAGAAATATTTGTTAGTGTACCTGCTTTCAGTTCTTTGGGGTTTCAGTGAGAAGCAGGGGCTGAAGGCTGGCTGCTTTCCTTGGCTTGTGGCCTCTTCCTAGAACCACTCCGAACTCTGCTTCCCTCCTACCACTCTGATCTCCCACCTCCTTCTTATGAGCATCCCTATGATGACATCCGGGCCACCCACACAATGCAGGATCATCTCCCCATCTCCCCACCCTTAATCACACTGGCAAAGTTCCTTTTGCCACATAATATAGTGTTCTTGGGTTCCAGGAATTAGGGTGTGGCTACAGAGGCTTTTCAAAGAAGGAGGCAAGAGGATCATTTAATAGTAGATATGACGACAGGAGCAAAAGGTCAGAGGGACATAAGGAAGGGACCTTGAGCCAAGCACTGCAGGAAGATTCTAGAAGCTGGAGAAGGCAAAGAAATGAATTCTCCCCTGAACTCTCCAGGAAGAACACAACCCTGCTAACACCTTGATTTCAGACTTCTGATCTTCAGAACTATAAGAGAATGCATTTGCATTATTTTTAAGCCCCTAAGTTTGTGATAATTTGTTACAGCAGCAAACACAGTTACCCAGCTTGAGCATGAATACAGTTGACAGGAGGTGGGAGGTCTGGAGAGGAAAGTGAATGGAATGATTTGTAATTGTGATCATTTTAACAAGTGGAAAGTCCTGAGCTGTATCTAGGGTTTAGGGCTGTGCTGTCCAACATGGCAGCCGCTGGGCACATGTGCCTTCATTTAAATTTAAACTCACATTAATTAAAAAGTAAAATCCAGGGCCCGGGTGTAAGTGCTCAGTGGCTACATGTGTCCAGAGGCTACCATATGGGACAGCAAGGAGAGAGACCATTTCCATCCCTGCAGAACATTCTAATGGGCAGTGTTTGTTGAGAGAGTAAGACACAGAGGGTGTCATAGTATGTAAAGTTACAAGACCAGCCTGAAGAAAGTAAGGAAGAGGGAAGGGAGAAGGAAGCTGGCAGAAAACACCTAAAGCTGACATGTTTTAAGAGCAACAGAGGGGCACCTGGGTGGCTCAGTCAGTCTGCAGCTCTGGTCATGATCCCGTGTTCCTGGGTTCGGATCCAGTCCCGTGCCTGGGCTCCCTGCTGAGCCTGCTTCTCCCTCCCCCTGCTTGTGCTCTCTCTCAAATAAATAATAAAATTGTTTTTTAAATGTCAACATTATTTTTAAAAAAGAGAGAGAGAAACAGTAACCACCAGAAGAAATAAGAAAGACTGTGTAAAAGATTTTACCTTTCACATCATCTATCGCGTGGGGGGGCCTGGGTGGCTCAGTCGGTTGGGTGTCTGCCTTCTGCTCTGGTCATGATCCCCTGGGGTCCTGGGATCGAGCTCCGCGTGGGGCTCTGTGCTCAGCGGGGAGCCTGCTCCCCCCTCTGCCCCCCCCCCCAGCTTGTGCTCTCTCTCTGGCGCTCTATCTCAAATAAATAAATAAAATCTTTAAAAACAAAACAAAACCAAATCATCTACTGGGGATACGGTGGAATGATACGGGATACGGGGAATACTGCAATAGCAGAGTAGGTGCTATGGCCTGAATTGTGTCCTCCCCAAATTCGGACGCTGAAGCCCTAGCCTTGCTCAGTGTGGCTGTATTTGGAGAGGGGGCCTTTAAGAAGATGATCAAGGTTATAAAAAGGTGTAGGGTGGGGCCTCGACCGGTAGCATTTGATTAGCTCCTTAGAAGCGGAGACACCAGATAGCTCTCTCTAACCACCCCCCCCACAACCACCCACCGCATCCCCACGCCCACTCTACTCACGCGTCGGCTGGGTTGGTCTGTAGGGGCGTGGCCTTCCATGCAAACCTAGGGGTGAATTTCAGCCGCTCAGGCCTCGGGGGACTGGGGCTCCCTGCGGTTGCAGACAGACGAGAGGGACCTCCCTCAGCTGGCTACTGTAGCCCCCGTGGCGTGGCACCTGCAAACAAGGAGGGTCGCCTGGGAGAACTTGGAAAGGCTGGTGCGGGAGACATTAATGCTGGTCTCCCGAGTAGCTCCAGCTGTCCGCCTCCTGGCCCCATGGCAGAATAGCAGCTCTCTATCCTCCTGGAAGTTCAGCTTTAGCCAATGAAAAACAACAGAGGTGAAGTCCATGGCCTTGGGGAAGAAGCATTTAAGGCCTGGGGGGCAATCCTCCATCTTCCCTCACCACTGCCAGGTGGTTCCAGGGGCGGAGCCTCAGGCAGCTTGGGTCCCTTCCTTAGCGGCTATGATGAGCCCAGCTTCCTGCTGCCCCATGAATGAGCCACTGAGATTTGGAAGTTTGGATTTCCGCAGCAGAACCTTGCCCATCCTTACTAACACAACTGATAGGCTCCAAATCTCAAAAAAAAAAAAAAAAAAAAGTTTCATAGTATTAAGAGCCCCTCACCAGACTCACAACATGGGCAATACCCATGAGAGAAAAAGCTTCTCATCTAGCCCTGGGGTGGGTCTTTTTGCAAGTATCCAGTACAGTGTTCCTATGGATATTATTTGATGTTTGTGTCTCATCTCTGGTGGAAGCTTGTTTATGAGTAAGGGATGATCCTGTGATTGTCAGGAAAAGGACTTCTAAGAGACTTCCAAAAGATTACTGTGAGGTAAGGAATAACTGCAGCACGCACATTCCGGGACAGATTTCAGAGAAAGGTGGTGAATGAAGTGTTAAGAGTCATCAGAGCCTTCTCTGCCCGCATCCCCAGAATCAGCTGAAAGACCAGTGTAGGGGGGTGAATGGTGGTCCCCCAAAATACATGGCCACGTTCGAACCCCCTGAATCTGTGACTATGGTCAAATTTGGGCAAAGGGCCTTTTCAGACCCAAATAAAATCTTTAATAATAATAATAATAGGTAAGGGCTTCCCTTTTGGGGTGATAGAAATGTTTTGGAACTGGAAAGAGGTGGTGATGGTCACACAACATCGAGAAGGTACTAAATGCTACTGCACTGTTTATTTTTTTTAAGATTTTATTTATTTATTAGAGAGCAAGCGAGAGAGGGAACACAAGCAGGGGGAGTGGGAGAGGGAGAAGCAGGCTTCCCGCTGAGCAGGGAACCTGATGCGGGGCTCGATCCCAGGACCCTGGGACCATGACCTGAGCCGAAGGCAGACGCTTCACCGACTGAGCCACGTGGGCGCCCCTGCACTGTTTATTTTAAAAATGGCTGATTTGGGGACATTAACTGACTGGGTGGCTCAGTCTTGGTTAAGGATCTGACTCTTGATCTCACAGCTCAGGTCTTGATCTCAGGGTTGTGACTTCAAGTCCTGCGTTGGGCTCCATGCAGGTTGTTGGAGCCCACTTAAAGTTTTTTTTTTTTTAATGGTTAATTTTATGTTATGTGAATTTCCCCTCAGTTAAATAGATCAATATTAGTATATTAGAAACCTATATGGGAAAGTGTTGGCAAGGATATAGAGCAACCAGAACTCTCCTTCACTGCTGGTGAAAACGAAAAATGGTACAACCGATTTGGAAGAGAGTTTGGCAGTTTCTTATACAACCAAACGTTCATCTGCCCTAGGACCCAAGAGAAATGAACATCTATGTTCACACCGAGGCCTCATGCAAACGTGTTCAGCAGCTTTAACCAGAACAGCCCCAGCAGATGAGCGAGTGTAAATAATTGCAGTCCCCCCATCCAGCCCCGGGAGGGAACCCGAGGGAACTTTCTCTATATTCAGTGGGGTTTGGGGCACAGAGATGGATGCATTTCTCAAAACTCCACGAGTGTACATGGAATTTCTGTGCATTTCATGCACCTTAAAAAAAAAAAAAAAAGGAATGTGAATATTGAACTCTGGTTAATGATA